GCCCTTGGACCCGAACCAAACCTTCACCGAACGGGTCGGGTCCTTGATTCTTAGGGTGCTAACCTTCATGGGTCTCTGAATCGACGAACTTGGGTGCCGAAGACATGACTCGCTTCGTGCGCGAGTCATCCGGGGGGGTGGAAAGATCCGGATGTCTTCCGGAGTCTTCGGAGACCTTCGAGTCCAGAGGCATCATGGTCCCATACACGACCCGTTTGGGACTGCCAGTCCGGACTGCCCATCAAGCCAGACCCCCCGCGCTAACCATCACCCCTGGCCGGAACTCTCGGCAGTCCGTCCTGGCAGTCCCAAACGGGTCGCGCCTGGGAGTTGGAGCTTCTTCTTCTTTCGTTTCGGCGACGGTCCGCCGATGTGGATGTGATCCTGGACGACGCTACCGTCACGTGTCACGTGTCACTGTCGTGTCTGCCGCATAGCACCGGGCAGGACCAGTGGACGACGTACAACTGGTCCAAGTCGAAGAAGAGGTTACTTCCGATCCAAGAAAGGAGAGATGAGGCGGCATCGCGCGGAACTGCGGAACTGTGAGTGGTGACTCCCAGACACGACGACTGCCATACTGACAGGTGGAAGTCGGGGTCAATTGATCGGCATATTAGACCACCCTAAGACTTCCTAAGAATCCTTGGACCCTCCGAACTGGAGGGTTTTGACCCTGCAGGTTTCGCAGGGGGCCCTTGGACCCGAAGCAAACCTTCACCGAACGGGTCGGGTCCTTGATTCTTAGGGCAGTCCCAAACAGATCGTGTTTGGGTCCACCATCAGGATGGACTCAGATGGAGTGGTTTCAAGGAAAGGAAAGACACATCGCCCACCCGGTTCGAACGAAACCGTGACGAACGACGAACATGAACTCCACCTGGGAGTCAATCCATCCACCAGCAATTCGGGGTATTTTCAGCTAAGAGATCATGACTCACTCAGCAGGCGACGCTCCCAGGGCTGGGCGATTCGAATTCGATCCCAGGGCGCTGCTCGTAGGCTCGGAGGAAACACCGTGGAGAGCGAGAACCTCCTCGCGCGGGTGACGAATCGAAGTAGCACTTTTTGGGCACAGTTCGTTTGGAAAACGCTTCTTGAAGCGAAACCAGTTGCTATAAGAGGTATAGTACGGCCCTGGAAGTCAAAGACCATTTTAAAAATGGTTGAGCTGGTTTTGTAGTGTAAAAGTCTTAGTAAAACAATGGTGGTTCGACTTCTAGGGACGGTGTATACTGCATGTGTTCTTTGGGTGTTCCAACAACACCCGATCGGCCCCCCCGAACCGTCTCGGTCGAGTTCACTCACCTTCCGAACCAAACCGTCCCAGGGGGGGGAGTCGTTGCCGCGCCGCACCCAACGTGATGGAACACAGCTCACGTTGACGCCTGTGCTGATGGGCCCGCGCTCGAGAGCGCGATGCTACGCCGCCGCCGCCAGGTGGTCTCTGTGCTTTGTGGGCCCTCGCGCGTGGTTTGCCTCTTGGGGGAGACCGGAAGTGGCAAGAGCACCCAGGTGCCGCAGATCATTTTAGAAGAGGCCCGGGCGGACGACCGAAGACCCCACTCCCGCGCGAACAAAATGTGCGCGCGAACAAAATGTGCTCCGAAGACGGTCGCGGGAAGTCGCTCCAAAAGTCACAAGGAAGTCGCTGGTTCCAAAGGGAGGTAGGAGTTGGGTGCCCAAGATTGCCCAAGAACCACATCCACAGCCACTGGGACGAGCCACACCACCCAGGCCCTCCATGTGGCTCCTGGCGATTGAATATAGGCTACCTGACGTGCTACCTGATGTTGTTCTTGCTCTATAACAAAAATGCATATAGCCGTATATTAGCAATTGGGTTCATAGCCCTTTCCACGCCGAATATTTCTGTGTGTGGAGCAGATTTGTAGAAATGGTCTGTGTGTTATTCAAAGTACATGAAAGCACCACACCTTTGACTTGAGCTGCTTTTAGATTGGTGCGTGTACTGAGCCAGTGTTCTGTAAAAAGCGTTACTTTTTGGCAGGTTCCTCTAATAACCAAGCATGTCTTACGCATTGAATGGAACTGGAACGTTGACCTGCTTGACCCGTCAGACTGAACCCTACGTCGAATCGAATCACCCCTGCTTGGTCGATCGATGCCAGTCCCATTCGTCGAAATCATCCATCCTCCGCCAGTCAAGGGGACCGTCTGAGATCAACACAGACCTTGCCCCGAACCACCTCCCCAAACCCACCGCAAAACTGCCCCACCCCAGGCGCGCCGCGCCCAGAACGACGCGCGGGTCTGTGTGACCCAGCCGCGCCGCGTGGCGGCGCTCAACTTGGCCAATCGCGTGGCCACGGAGCTCGGCGGGGCGCCCGAAGGGTGGGCGGAAGGGTGGAGGTGGCGGAGGAGGGTTCGCGAAGAGGTCGGGGGGCGGTGTTTGGAAATGAGTCCCATTCAGTTGTTCGTGGGTTTTGGATCGCCATGGATCACCTTAAACACTCGAACCTGCCACCAAAACGCCTAGACATTGAAGCCCTTTTCAACCACCCCAATGTAATTATACCTCGCACTTCCTGTCTGGGTGCCGGACACCCAGGCAGGATGACCCTGGTGGGAGGTCAACATGGCAGTTCTTTAGACAGGTCGTGTTTGGGGCACCGATCGCATCCAGCCTCCCCGTCTCCTGCGGTCCGGGACTGGAGGTGAAGCCATCGGCTACACCGTGGGCTACCGGATCGGCGGCCCCTCGGCGTGCAGAAGCGGACCCGGGACCTGTGGAGGGCCCCAGACACGACCCATGGGACTGTCATAGGACTGCCGCATGCCTATATACATTGACCCTTCAACTACCACCCCAATGTAGGTACATATACCATACATGGAGTGTCTGGGATATGTGTGCGTGTGTGGGCGTGTGTGGGTGTGTGTATGGTTGTGATGTTGTGTGTGAGAGAGAGAGAGAGATCGTGTTGGATCATTGTGATGTTGTGGTGATATTGTGCCAGTGTGTGGATGAAGGATTTCAGGAGCCTAATTCACAAACCTGCCTCCTGACAGCCTAGCCCAATGTGCTCGGTTTCTCAGGAGAGAGTCGACGTGGCGAGAACATCGATTTCTGCACGGTGGGCTACATGTTGCAAGTCTTCCTCAACACTCCAGAGGTGAAGACGAAAGGCGAAAGAACGAGCATGGCGAAGGATGAGAGCTGGCGAAGAGGGGTCCCCAAGAAGACCCATCTCCAGCTTCCAAATACTCGGACTCACATGGAAGTGGAAACGCATGGCCCCCCTCGTCGAAGACGACGAACTGCTGAAGACCAACCCGTCTCGACTGGACCGTCAGAGATCGTCAGAGGGTTCAAGACGAAGACGGTCCAAGCGAGACTGGTCCAACCCGGACACTTCAGCCTCGCGTGCACTGTGCACCTCCTCGGGTAAGCGCCATGGCCCCGATGGCCATCTCGGCCGAATCGGCTGCCGTTCGGCCGCGGCCGCTGCTCGGATGGCAGGAGTTTGGCCACTACACGCACATCGTCCTGGATGAAGTCCACGAACGAAGTGTCGCGCCTGCAGAGAGAGGGTAGTCGGTCGCAGCTGGTGGGTCAGAGCAGAATGGTGTCTGCAGTGGGGTCCCGTGTTTCATCCTCCAAAGCAAGGCTCAGGGAGGTGTTTGAAGATGAGTAGTTATCTGATCTGACTGTTAGTTCTGGGCATTTGTACTATAGCGTGATTCCGCAGGGCTGTTGACTGACATTCCCTCGTATTTGCATACCTGTGAAAGTATCCAGTCAATGCTAGGGCTGGTAGGGTTTGATGCTTGGGATGTGGTCATGAGATGTGTGGTGAGTCTAACACCTCCCTGATGGCAGATCATGGCATAGTGGATGGCATAGGCCCCTGAAAAAGAAAATCTTCTACAGGAGGTGGTGCCATCCACTTCCACGTGAATGACTCCCCAAAAACCCAAGCAGAACAACACCCCAGCCACGGCACAGAGAGTCCCAGATGGGTTTTCGGTGTCCCTGGGTTTTCGGTATGTTCGGTGTAATTCACGAGAAGAGGACCCGGAGAGTGTATAGTACACAGGTTGTTTGTTTCTTTTTTTTGGGCAAGACCTGAACTGCAAACCTGTCTCATGCCCAGCCACTCCGTATATACCTTGGGTCTGTCCGAACTTACCTGTAACCGGACCCGTAAGCAAGCAAATCACTATTTTTGGACAAGGCCTGCAACCTAACCATCATCCACTGAAGCCAGGTAATAGGATAGACCCAATATATATACCCATGGCCCATAGCCTATACCCCCATCACCAGGGTGCTTCCAAGACGCCGATGAAAGCGCCAGAGTGCGGCTCAAGTCGCGAAGCAGAGTGCGGCTGAAACGACCGGTTCTAGAGGAAAGTGTATCAGTATGTGCCTGGAACCTGAGTGACCCCTGTTTTGAAGGGTCAACTATATCCAAAATATGGCCTTTTCCTATCAAAACAGGAGTCAAAGGGGTTCTAGGTGTATCTAGATCTGCTGAAACATCTGCTATAGATGCATGGAGAGCGGCCTATGGGCTTGTGTTCTGACATCTGCTGTATATAGGTTCCGGAAAGCTGATCTACAACATCTATGTATATTTGCTGTATGACATCTCCTTTCAGCCAAAAGTGTGGCCAGAATGAAGCCTGAGCTCAAGCACCCTCCCTGCAACAAAGACGGAAGCGGACCCTCCCGGCTTCTAGAGGACGCGAATTGTGTTGATCGAGCACGCGACTATTCTCATCATCGATTGACCAAAGATCTACGTTGCATGTGCACGAAGTTCTTTAGAGTCAAAGTAGCCAGATGCGTTTCAATGAAACTGGCTTCATAAGATGGTGAGATCAGTTCATTCAGTTCAGTCTATGCCCGTTAGCTGTGGTGCTCCTTTAGATTCCTTTAGATCTGCCGGCCAGTCGATTCAACGGTACCCTCCGGCTGTTGCAAGTCGACTGGCCAGTCGACCACTCGTCGTACCCGAAGACCACTCGCTGCCATGTCCGCGAGCGAAGAAGAAAGCGGCTCCTCCAGTGGCTCCGAAGGCGAAGCCCCTGAGCTGGCGCTGCCCAGTAGCAAGGCGCAGAGCTAGCGTCCGCAAGCTGGGGTGCGGTCAGGGTGTGGGGAGGTCAGAAGACCTGGGAGGTCTGCTGGTTAGGGAGACGTTCTACTTCAGCCAGCGCCAGCTGGATAGGTCTGAAGCTTCCGGGTCGTGGGGAGATACACACCCAGGGTATTTGAAGAGGAAGGTCTTCAACCTGGTTGTTGGCCTGGTTGTCAAGAATTGCAGATCAGCACAGTGGTCTTTCAATACTTCAACATGCATCATCCTCGTGGTCAAATCATCACCTCCACCAAGTATCTCTGACCTAGGACCGACCTGTTTGCAGGTGGCATCATCACTTCTCCCTGAAGACGTGACGCTACGTGACCCAGCTTGACGTGACCCACAGATGTACACGGTGTACACGCCCACCACCTGGGTGGGCCCCGAACTTCCTCCATGACCACACGTGGGTCCACACGTCACGTCACCCTGTGGCTGGTAATAGCGAATAGAAGGTCAACCTGTAGGTCTTAGACTTTGTGCAAGACTTCACCCACTTTTTGGGGAGCATGTTTAGCTAGGACTTCATCCGACAGTCATGAAAATACAGGGTTCATACGATCCTTTGGACGCTGTTCCTTCATAGTTGGGGTGTCGTTCGTTTGGGCTTCAATGCTTGTTGGATGGGGAGTCAATTCACTCCTTCCAGGGCCCACGTACCAAGCGTAACGCGAAACTATGGATGTTTGAACCATACTCAACCAGTGTGATAGGGCATTGACAAGGCAAACATGGGGAAGCCGGCATTCAACCGGTTGTGTTTTAGACGAGACATATGCTAAGAAAATCAGAGCAGGTATGCATGGTGTTTGCATGTTTTACCGGGATGGCAGTTATGTGTTGAACCGAAACAAACGATACACCTCCTTTCCAAGTCCCAACCATTCAACCTTTCCGCGGTGCCAAAATGGCACAAGAACATCTACTGGGTGAGGACCACTTCATCATATAGGATCCATTTCTATGAGTCTCCCTGCCCTCCCAAAACAGCGCTAGCAACCGCCTCCTCCCTGCCCCCTGCAACGCCGCGCGATCGCGCGAGGCTCCCTTTGAAAAGATCTCCTGCTTGGGCGAAGGCGCCTTTGGCGCCGTCTGGTTGGCGCGCTCCAAGAGCAGCGGCCAATATGTGGCCCTCAAGGCCTACCCGGTGCCAACAAAGGGTACTAGCACCTGTGTTAAGTCATTTGGTCTTGTAGAAAGTCGTTTGGATGCTGTGTTTACATTGGGGTTAGATGCAAGAGATGGCAATATAACTGGAAGAGTATCAGGTCAACAACATTGTTTGGATGCTGCGTTTACATGCGGTTTAGGTGCAAGATGTGAATCTCATTGGAAGATAAGCTTTGGAGTGTCAGTTCAACAATACTGTTTCGAGCTCGAGCGTGCGTGGCAAAGCAACCGTAACAAGCGGTTTGTCACCTTGACATTGCCGGGCCAGAGCAAGTAGAAAAGATTCACGTGGTCCCAGCATGCTACATCTATGTTTAGGGAAGTTTAGGGGCTAATCTTCACGATAGCCCTACCCTTGTGTTCTGATTGGGGTTCGGTCACCAAAACACTGCAAACTTCGACATAAATCTAGTTCTTTTCTGCACAAGGGCAATGAATTCTTGATGTATAGCAGTTTTGACAAACATGCTTTCGTAGAGCGTTTACTGTACATGTTTTTTCAACATAAAACGGGTGAATTTTTGCAAGCCGGGTGACTTTTGACTAATGCTGCGTTTACATGCGGCCGGGTGACTTTCTGCAAACCCCGACGCTAGTATGAGAAAGTCACTTGAGATAAGATGTGTATGCGCGAGAGTCGAAGAAACGTGGTGTTTCGACCGTTTGGGGTTTCCAGGATACTGATACTCTTCCCTAGCCTCGAAGTTCGACCATTCAAAACATGGGAATGAACTGGTTCGGGATTCAGTGTAAAATCCTTAGCTGGTTTGGGATTCAGCCTATTAATTTGGAAGTCTAGGGTCTTGATTAATAAGCCCCCCATATGAAGAACATGTCCAATTCAAATGTGAGGGTTTATTAATCAAGAGTCTACATTACTGATAGTAGGCAGGGAGAATCAACCCCAAGACAGTTTCACGTGACCAGCACGTGACAGGGGAAAAGCACACGTTGCATCGTTTTTGGGGGTTTCTTCCCTTCTCGGGCTTCCTGCTCCCCACTGGTTTCTTCCTTTCTCGAAGTGCCTGGCCCTTAGCTGCTTAGCTCCTATGAGTCACTCTCACTATACCACCAACTCACGAACTTGTTGGATCTTGTTGGCATCTATTCACGTCCCTTGATGTTGATGTTCCCTTTACGTTTTGGCCCAGCACTTCCTTCTTTGGCCATCCCAAAACGTATCGCCTCTTCCCAAGAGATCTACCCTCGTTCCATCGCCTCGCCTCTTCCTCCGCCTCCGCTGCCAGGAGATTGGTCGCCACCACGCGGACGTCGCGCTGCTGCGCCCCGAACGGGACCTGCTGCGCCGCATCGCGGACGAGGGCGGCGGCGGCGGCGCGCGTCCGCTGACGGGGCTGGTGGCGACCTACACGACGCCCTTCGCGGTGTGTTTGGCCATGGAACTGGTCGAAGGCCCGAACTGCGGCCGGAATTCGGGTGGATGGAAGTGAAGTGGCGCGAAAAACCAGCTGGAGCAGGAGCTGGAGCAGTGTTTGGGGGGTAACTGTAACTGCTGAGACAGACTGATGTGGGACTGTGGTGAAGTGTGGTGAAACATTTGAAGTTTGAAGTCCTATTGAATTCTGTCGAATTCTGTGGCGGGCTGGGTCATGGCACCAGGACACCACCCAGACGCGATCCGTTTGGCACTGCTAGGACGGACTGCCGAGAGTTCCGGCCACGATTGGTGGTGGTGCCAGGGGGGTCTGGCTTGATGGGCAGTCCGGACTGGCAGTCGACAGGTCGTGGGACTGGGGAATAGACATGAATAGACTATCCACAGGGTGGCGTTGGATGTCATGTGCACCTCTCCCTGGGCGAAGCCGGCGGCCGGAACCGCGCCCGGCCAGGCACCCACTTGTTCGACCACCTCAAAGCCGAGAAACGCTTCACGGAAGACCGTGTCCAGTGGTATGCGAGCGAGATCGCTGGAGCGTTGGAGTGGCTCCACTCCAAGGGCTGGCTGTATCGAGTGGCTTGGGAACAATGGTGAGGCGTTGGTGGGGCGTGATAACTTCTGGGTGTTGCTGATCAGGCGGATGTTTTTTTGGTTAAATCTCCTTTCTGGCGAGTATACTTCTTGTTTTTCTCGGCTAGAATGCACAAATCCAAGTCTTGGGAAGGCGCAAGGAGTTCGTTGTTGGGAAGATGATGTTCTGCAGAAATCGGCAGCGAAACGAGAAATCCGCCATCGATCACTTCATCGAATCGGATGTTGTCCTCCACGTGTGTGAAGCGGGGATCGCTGCATCGCTGCACGACGCACTTCGCTGAACTCAGCAGACTCCTAAGGATTTGAAACTCACCAACGTGATGTTGTCGATCCTTGGCACTGAAATGGAACGCAAACAACATCTGCCGGAGAGAGAGAGAGAGAGAGTGGCTTTTTTGCGGCTTCTGTGTGAAGCCTGGCATCCTTTTGGCCATGATGTTGTTCGTTTTTGGACCAAGAACTCTTCGCTGGGTGGTCTGAGTCTACGCAATTTCCAACGCCCTGGGTGGTCTGGGTGGCCAGGGTGGCCACCACTTGGAGCCTTTGAGTCTCATGGAGTCTCAGGGTCTGGTGACGGGTCACGGTCACCGCACAGCGAGCACGGACCGACCAGTCGATCCGTGCCGTGCCCTGCGTGATGCCGTGCCGCTCAGGATCTCAGAGAAGTCCTATGGCCGCGTGAAGCTGATAGACTTTGGCTTTGCGCATGAGGGACTTTGGAGTCCTGGCAGGTCTTCGAAAAGAGCATGTTCTATTATAGTTTATGGAGGTGTGTGTGTTTTGTGGTGTCCTTCTATCTCCCCAGGGCCAGCCAATTGTTTGGGTGTATCATCTGTGACGACCCGAATCCTTGGGTCAGTGGTGGTTGGGGACCTGAAGGAGACATGTATTTACATGGACCTGTAGGACGAGCAGCACCCACCTGTCGGAGCGTGACCCGTGGTGTTTTCAGTCGGCGCGTTGGGCGGTTTTCTGATTCTCTCCGCCCTTTGAGGAGCGATCAAGCTCTTGGGACACTGCAGACCATGGCACCGGAGGTCATCGCGTGTGCGAAAAGCGACTGGTTGAAGGATTTGAAGCTGGAAGCTGTTCACGATGGAAAGAAAGCAGGATATGGTCCTCAAGCAGATTGGTGCCTCGCCGTTGACAGAGGTTGGGACTTTAAGTAATATATGACTCCCGACAAGTCCAGTCTGACCCAGGTCCAAACCTGGTCGACTTGACCTCAGTAAGTATTGGTTTTGTAAGACCATCTCCAATAAAAGGAGGTCAGCTCCTGACTTGTAGGGTCTGCTCAACTCCTTCTTTTGAGTTGCTTCAAAAAAGGCTTGATAGCTCGTAGAGGTTGAATCCTGAAGTCCTTGTTGGACCGGATTTCCACCAGGCCCGCAGGCGCATGTCCAGGTGTCAACCTATCATGAAAGTCATGAAAGTCATGAAATCAGGTGTCAACATGTTCGTTTCGGCAGGCCAAACATCAAGCAGTTTCCAGGTTTTACCAGAATTCGGCAGGCCTGATTGCACCCCGCTAAGCCGTCTAGCCGTGTCTTTCAACAGGTCTTGAAAAACGGTCTTTCGCGGTCCCGAACCAAACCATACCCAGACACGACGAATGGGACTGCCATAGGACTGCCGATCAGGCCTGGGGTGGTTGACTGGGGGTCAATGGGGCGGCAGTCCGGACTGGCAGTCTCAGACAGGTCGTGTCTGGGATATAGGGATTGGTGAGAAGGTCTGGACCCCTCCAGAAAATTCGGGCTACAGTCCCAGAACAGACGATCTCTGGACCAGACTGGTCGCCTTTGGGCAGCTGAAGAGCCAGAACCCCCCGTGCAGGGCAGTGTGCGTCACAGACGCACTTGGAACCCGTCATGGGCTGGGGTCGGCGGATTAATAAGATGGGTAGCGCTCAACATAGGATAATTTCCATGCCTATTCCCTAGAAGTCGTGGCCCACCATGTATTTCACAGCCTGAATCCCGAACAACCAATTGATTGCAATACTAATTTATGTGTTTTTTTGCATGGTTATACACTACAAAACCAGATCGTTCCCATTTCAAAATGGTCGTTGCCGGACTTCCGTGCCTCTTCCTTGCTCAAGCTTTGCGCATTGAGGTGGTCTTTGGGCGTAATTCTATTCGAGCTTCTCACTGGCGACCTGAGCCAGCACTTCAGCGGCCGAGACGGTTCGCAAAAACCGGGTCTGTGAAGTGAGGTTTGTCCATTTTTCCCCAAACAGTTTACTGTTGGGGTTCTATCTTAGAAAGAAAAGAGCTGGCCACATTCACTGGCCGCGCCCCTGAACTCTGTGGCTGGGCTCTGTGACAAGTGTTGCTTTCGTCTCAGGACATCCAGGTCAGGATTTGAGAAGATACTGTGGAAGATCTTGAGGTGTTGTTTTCGCAGGACTTGAAGCCCTTAGAAGCAGCAAAACAGCAAGCTCCCCTAATTATACTGTGTTCTTCCTGTTTCTTCCCATAAGAGAGCTCATCAATTAATGAAAATGGTTCGGAGAGCTTCCCGTCTTTCACAGCTCTTCGTTTCACAGCTCTTCGTTTCACAGCCAGCTTTTTCCCGCTCTCTCTCCCTCTCGCTCTCTCTCAAGCTCGTCTTGAGCTCCTCCCCAGGTGAAGTGCCGTTCGGCCGGCACGACGACTTGTTGTTAGAAGGCTTTCGGGTCCTGCAGCGTCAGCAAGAGGGATGGATGTGGCCGGATTTGAACATCAGCAGTGCAGCCAAAGAAGCTGCAGGCGAACGGGCCGTTTCACACGTAGTACGTGAGATCTTGTATTCGTTATTTTTCGTTCCATCCGTCATTCGGAGTTCCTTTTTTTATGGTGTTTTCCTGCTGCTATGGTGAGAGATCATATGTCATGATTCCGAGTGAAATAGCCTAAATAGGGGCGAGAACTTCTCTCCCAAGATCGAACACATCGGACGAGGTTCGCCGAAGGCACCTTCTCAGTCAGGGTGATGACCCTCCCTCCAAGTTAACATGGTTACGTGGAACATGGACAACGGTTTTCCTCTAGCAACAGGCAGTGCCATCCACTTCCATGTGTTTGAACGTATCTACTTTGCGTGCTGGCACATCTGGCGCATCATGTCGTGAAATCCAACGTTGGCACCATCTCAGTCAGGTGATGTTGAGACTGAAAACCTTCTCTCACCACCCGTCCACTCTCTAAGTCTTACAAGGAGGTCCCCAGCACATGCCATGAACACGTCCGCCTTCCGCTCGGTTCCGCCGCGGCACACCCGCTCGGTGGTGTCCCACCGTGGGGCTAGGCGCGTTGTGTCAGCTGAAGCCTCACGAGCGCTTGGATGGGCAGAGTTTGCGGCACCAGGAGTTCTTCCAAAAGGTCCCTTGGGAAGCCTTAGAGGAGTGACAGACCCAACCGATCAGAGTGGGGAACTTCCTTCCTCTCGAGGTCGGCGTGTCCGCGCCGGTGGGCGGTGTGGGCGGGAGGTAGCCAGGTAGCCTAGCTCTTTGATTTAGCCTAGCTCCTCGCTTCAGAGGTTCAAGCGTTCAAGAGGTTCGATCATGTTCGATCCACCGGCCAGCTCGGTGATTTGTGTTCTGTTAGTCGACAAGTATACGTAACTCTAACTGGAGTTCAATCATACCCAAAACCACCGTGGTTTTACTCAAAGTCACACACCTTTTTTTTGGAGGAGCTGTTCTTTTTGGACGCAGCGTTTGGACCCTCTTTTGGGCGGACATGTTGCTTTGCAGTGTCCTCTACATATAGCTACGGCCGGTCGGATGGCGCAGCTCGCTTGCACCAGGAGGCGGGCCCTGGCCCTGGTTGCCAGCGCTTAGGCTTCACCATCGCCTCAGCCAGTGAGGAGGAGAACATGTGTCGGCCACGACGGGTCATGGCGATGCCAGTGACCTTGGAAGGCCCAGATCCCTTTGAGGACTTCTAGATGCAGACTCTTGATACAAAACTTCTTCCCCAGGAGTGAGGCGTTCTCTGTGAAAGCAGGCATTCAGGCGTCTTTTTCTTGGAATCAAGAGTGGTACTGTGCGCTGCTAGCACCCTGTGGCAGTGGACGTGGTGATCAAAAAAAGCCCTTGGGACATGCGAAACACTGCGCGTATCGCTGGGGATGAAATGTATCAAACAATGCCCCCAAAGACCTTGCGACTTAAGATTCTGTTAGAGTTGTCTCGGGCTGCTCGAGCTTAGCGCCAGGATGCCAACTAAGTGTCCTGACGTCAAATTTTGGTTTACGAAGGTTCCACCAAAGGCTTGGAAGCTTCGAAGCAGTTCTCTTCACGGCCAGTTCTTCATGGTTTTACTCCATGTATGCCATATATGCCTACATTGACCCCCAAAACCACCCCAATGCAGACATATGTAGGCATATAAGTATATGGCATACATGGAGTGTCTGGGACGTGTAGGGAGTGTATCCGTTCAAGAGACAGAATTGTGAAGACATATGTCTACGTTGCTCAGTTTGTAGCCCACACCCGTAGGCGCAGGATAGCTTTCACAGGATGCTTTTCCTTGCTGACAGTGGCTTGACACTACTTAGATCGCTTTGGTTGTTGAACGCTTGATAGATGGCACCAGCCCTGATAGCTGCAAGATAGCATCATGATAGCATCATGGGATGCGCGGTTCAAGAATTACCCCACAGGGAAAACATGTGTTTTTTCCGGACTCCCAAAATACATGAAAGGCCAAGATCATTGGCCTGCTTTGAGTTTGAGGACAGCCTTGAGACTGCAGACAGCACAGTAGGGTTTTTGTGCCATTACTCAAGAAATACATTTAGTTGAGGGTTGTTCTACGACGACACGGTGTTCTGGCAATCTATTCGCAGAGGTGGTTATGGACAGGCACAATTGCCTGGTTCAGAGCTACCTAGAATGTGCAGAGCTACCTAGAATGTGCAAGGCATGCGCTGGGGTCCAGTGTCACTAGCAGCATTTGCAGGGCTCAAGCCGATATGAGAGTGGGTGGCCACACAAGCTTTTCTGTACTGTTTGCCTTTCTGCATGTTTGTAAGGGATGATCCAGACCTGGCCTGTGCAGTGTCCTGGCACGGAAGACCATCCTGAGAATCATTTTGCTTGGATGTCAACAGCCAATGAGTTTTGTGGGACGATGTGCAAGGTCCGCGAGCTTGACTACTTTCACTTGGTTTGCCATTCCAGGATCTCCATGAGCAAGCGAAGTGTGTTTGGCCAGTGTGGACAGCATTGCGTTAGTTCCCTGCTTCGAGACACATTCGACGACCTAATACTTGCACCAAATTCAAAGAGCACTGAGAAACTTGCTGAGAGACGTGGAGAGAGAGTTGCAGTGACAGTATTTGTTTGCTGATCGGGTTCAGACACATTGACATAGTCCTTCGGCAATGCCGTAAGGCCCCAAGGTGTTTGGCTTTGTGCTGTCATTGGATGTAGTAAGTATGCATGCCAGCTTGCACTTGAAGTTGAAGAGCCATCAGATCCGGCCTTACTAGGCACAGGACAGCTTTGCAGGTTGCAATTCCTCGCTGACAGTGGCTTGACACTACTTACTTTGATCGCCTTGGTCGAAGGCGAATGCCAATTGCTCCGAGTTTCTGGTCAAAGCTCAGATGGCACCAGTTAAGACCAAGCAAAGTTGGGCAGTAGCACATTCTCTACCACCAAGATTCGTGAACTGGCAGCCTATACACGTCCGTCAGAAATTGAGCAGCTGCGCAGGTGTTGACACCAGTGTGTTTGTCACAGCTTAGTCCTTCCTGCCAACAGCTGATATGCCAACACATGTCACACATGGCACGTGGCACATGTGAGTGCTTGGAAGGAACCTGGCGTTCTTTGGCTGCCGATTCTTACGTGGATTGATGCAGGAAAGACATGGCATTTGCATCGATCCACGCAGCTTCCTCTTCGTGTTTGGCAGCCTGGCATTTTCTGGGACCCCTGACGTACCGCCGCGCGAACTCAACGCCCCCTCAACCTGACCCCTGTGAAGCATCGCGGAAGGTGGTCTCATGTGGCACTGCGTATGCCGGTTAACGTACGTAGGCTTGAATCTGATGAGTGGTCTCATGCGGGAGTCTTACCAGCTTCAACACTAGCAGGAAAGGCGAAAAGGGCCGCTCATTGGACTTGGTACACTTACAAAACTGCTTCGCATACACGTTTGGGACTCCAACCTGATAGACATCGCCTCCATGCTGCTTGCCATGGGTCCTGAAAAATCGACTGATGCTCCACTTGTGGCTCAAGCTAAGCCCAAACGAAAGAACAGACGGTCTTATGGAGCGCAGGTGTGTTGATTCCAACACTGCCAAGCCTCCGGTGCGGCCGCCTGCCGCATCGCATCAATCGCAGTGATAGCGTCGGTGGTACTTCGCATGGCCCAAAGATGTTGCCGTCACTTGAATGAAAGTACTCCAGGATTTCTCGATATGAGAGTGTACTGTTTGCCTTTCTCCCATGTTTGGAAGAGAAGATCCAGAACTGGCCTGTGTTTCTTCTGACTTCTTCCTCTGGGACATCGCCTTCGGCGCCGCAGCGTCTCGGTCGTTTTCGACCGGAGCCTTGGTCGAAAGACCGCGCGCATCGACCTGAAGAAGACGAGAAAAGGAGATAGCCGACCTGCTGCAAAGTTAAACAGTTGTTTGGGTTGATTGTGGAATGAATGTGATGGGAGACTGGAAACTCCAGGCTCCAACGAACATGAAAGTGGATCACCCCCTCTTACTGCGGGAAAAATTGTCTTGTTTCATGAAAACGTTTGAGGGAGGGTAGTTCTTCTACGGCATCCGAAAGGCTCTGCTCCATTTTGGGGCTTCAGCTGCTTTCGATTGGGCTCAAGTAGTGCTGAGCGCCCGTTTTGGGAGCTACACTACAGCTCGCGTATGAGAGATGTGGAGAGACTTGATTGTCCTACTACCTGTAACAGTCGGTAAACAGTACCACTATTATGACTCACTGTGCTGATTACCACTATTTATAACCGCTGTAACAGTATGTAACAGTGTCAGTGTTTGTTTTTCAGTCTCATATCATATTCCAGACACTCCATGGGACTGCCATATATGCCGCCCCATTGACCCCCAAAACCACCCCAATGTAGGCATATATGGCAGTCCCATGGAGTGTCTGGGATATTATCATTATCATTAGAAGTTTAGAGATGTCGGCCTGCAACTGAACCAAAGCGGAACAATCTACTGTGACTGGTAATGGGATAGACCCAACACATAGTCCTTCAGCAACGCTACAAGGTGTTTGGCGTTGGTCCCATGTGGGGGTTTGCTGTCATTGGATGTAGTAAGTATACATGCCAGCTTGCACTTGAAGTTGAAGAGCCATCAGATCCGGCCTTACTAGGCACAGGACAGCTTTTGCAGAATACTTTTCCTCGCTGACACTAGTTGCTTGACACTACTTAGTTCGCCTTGCTCGTTGAACGCTTGATAGATTGCGCCAGCCCTGATAACTGGAACATAGCATCATGGGATGTGCAGATCAAGAATTACCCCACAAAGAAACACCTTGTTTTCCGGAGTCCCACAATACATGAAGGCCAAGGACCTGGGTTTGAGTTTGAGGACAACCTTGAGACTGCAGACAGCACAAAATCCCAGCGTTTGTGCCATTCCATTAAGTAGGGTTTTTGTGCCATTACTCAAGAAATACATTTAGTTGAGGAGGGTTGTTCCACGTGTGTATCACATATGTTGAAAACCGCGGTACAAGTGTCTACGACGACATGGTGCGCTGGCAATCTATTCGCAGAGGTGGTTATGGACAGGCACAATGGCCTGGTTCAGAGCTACCTAGAATGTGCAAGGCATGCGCTGGGGTCCAGTGTCATTAGCAACATTTGCAGGGCTCAAGCCCATATGAGAGTGGGTGGCCACACAAGCTTTTCTGTACTGTTTGCCTTTCTGCATGTTTGTAAGGGATGATCCAGACCTGGCATGTGCCGTGTCCTGGCACGGAAGTCCATGGTCAGTTCCCCGATCGGGTTCAGAAGCACTTCGTCAGACGGGAAGTGAACGGCGAACGACGTGTTCATTGATTGAAGGAATTCCCTTGAAAGATGCCCGGAACTCGTCTTGGGAATTGATCGAGACCTTGTTTCGAGACGTGAGAACTGCGCATGGATCGAGGAAGAAAAGGCTGCCAGGATGCTCACTGGGCTTGCTTTTGTTGCCAAGATGTTCCAAATCGATTGGAACGATAGTGGATGATAGTAAGAACGGTCATCGTTGTGAAGTCGAACGAACAGTTGCCATTGGTTCCGCGGAAGAAAAGTCAACCATGATTTCTTTCTGCTGCGTTTACCTCTTCCAATGATGAGAGGTAAGCCCGCGGTCCAACACGGTGTTTCCGCATCTTCTGACGTGAGTCACTTCGTCGATCGATCACGGACCGAAGGTCGGGCACGTCACCGGTAACCGGACGAGACGGAGTCGGTGGGGAGGGTCGGAGGCGGTTGTTGGGTGGCGGTGATCTATGAGGCACAAGCAGAACCGACTGGGCTCGCGAGACTCCGAACGTGCGAGTCCAAAGTGACTTCTTGTGATCGTTGAGGCTCATGGAGGTGGGTGTTTGGTAGTTCTTACATGTTCTTAGCAAACTGTTAGCTCTAAAATGCTCATTTGCTGTGGATCGATACTTATGGTTGTTACTTCCTTTAGTCTTGCCAAAGTCTTACAGATGCTGAAGAAACGTACGTGTTCGTGTGGCGACATGCTCGTTTCCCCCGCCCCAGGTGCTGAGAGCGACATGCTCTGCCTGGTGGTGCGGCTCCTGGCGCAGCAGCGTTTTCGCAGCACGCGGCTGGTGATCATGTGGGGGTCGCAGCACGTGGGAGTGTTTTCGAACGCGGAGAGTGTTTCGAACGTGGGAGGATCCAAGAGAGGTTGAGAGACCAGAACTAGGACCCTGTAGTGGTACATATGGGATGGGCTATAAGGCTGTTCAACCTCTCTTGGATGGTCCGGGAACGGCGGAGGATGGTCGAAGGCAGACCCCAAACAGTGGGAGGTCGGTCTAAGATGGTTAAAGGTCGTTCGAAGCCCTAGTGACCTAGTGAACTGTTTGGGAAAAGAGACTACCCAGACGCGACCCTGGGCCCGAATCCTCTGGAGGGGTCGAAGGGGTCGAACCAATCCCTAGGGTTTTGAGGGACCAGTCGAGCGTCGTTCACGGAGCGTCTGGGTAATTCAGTAGTTCCATGCCGGGGTTGCCGAAGCAGTCTCCATTCTCCACGTCCTAGCTGAGACTCAAATTCAGCCGGAGCGACTGGCTGCCCAAAGAATCCGATCGGGCTCTCCATGGCAATCGAACCCTATCTGTTGTTTCCCCGGATTCTTAGTATTATACACATTAATCATTCAACTCAACCACCCGTCTCTTCGTCACGAAAACTCGGGGACCCTGAGAGTTTTCGTCGCAAGAAAACACGACCTGTTGACTACGTAATCACATGTATACCTAGCCCTAGGGCTCCAAGGACCTTCTTAGAAGGTGTTTGGGGTGGGTTTAGAGTGTCCAAATACCTTCTAAGCAGGTACTTGGAGCCCTAGGGTATGGGATTCCTGGCCCAAGCAGCTGTTTGAAGGGTCTTTTCATTCCCGGATGTTTACACTGAATCCCACCACGTCGTAACGTTAAGTTCCCATTCTTTGAATGGTCTGACCGAAGGCAAGGGTGTAGAGGTACCCAAGCTGCAGCTTGGATACCTATGGCAGTCCCACGTCCGTGTGGCTTCGGTGCGCTACAAAATGGCCGTGACCCGAAGGCTTCACTAACCCTCGACTTCCGGAACTCACCCGACTGACCCAGAGACGAACGATCCATGGGACTGTCAGTCCGGACGGCCGGAGTCGTCACTTGGGGTGGTTTTGGGTCGATCGGCAGTCCGGAGTGGGCAGTCCCATTACATCGTTCGTCGTGTCTGGGTTTAGGTCTGGCTGACAGTAGTGTAAGATCCTTAGTAAAACAATAAGTTTTTTGGTCAAACCTATACATGGAGGTTGGAATCCTGCGGATAGAGAGACCTCCGTCGGAGATGATGTTCCAGTTCGACTCCCAAGTTCCATCCCGTGACCATCGATTTGATGAGAGGACGCGAACCGAACCGAGCTCCTGGCCTTACTACTATAGGAGCGATCGGATGCTAACCATCCGCGACCGAGTGACCGGCGATCGAGGTTCGTCTGACGTGTAGACCTGGCAGCGCGACGTGACACCACGCGGTTCGACTGGCAACGGCCCAGGTCTGCCACCTTACAGTCGGGGCTCTTCGCCACGTACTTCGCCACGGTCTCGCCGCTGCCGGTGGGCAACGTCTTCGTGGGGGCGAGGTGTTTCAAGGTCACCGAATACTTCTTGGAGGCGCACCCCGTGCGCGCGCGCATGGCCAGTGCGCCGCGCGGACCGGGCCTTCCAAATCGTTAAGACATGGAAAAAGACAAAAATGGATCAACACACGCACAAATTCACAATGCTCGTCCACTTCTAAGGTGTTCTTTTCGGTTTTTCAGGTGTTCTACGGTGTTCTACGGTGTTTGGAAAGGTGCACGCGGATGCACCAAACACCCTACGTGCACGCGTAACTGGTCGAAGCCTTTCTTTGGAGGTGTGGTGCCTATGCGTACTGATGCTATCCACAAGGCCACACCAGGTGCTTTTCCACATAATTAAGCATGATGATTCCCCACATCACTGTGTGGGGTTCTTGTTTTTCGCTCTGACACCCGTCGCTCCGTCCGTCCTGCGTCCCTCCACCGCCACTCATCTTCCACCACTTATCACACACCACTCATCACACACCACTCACTCATCACACACCACCGGTTTACCAGAAGAGGAACGTGACTGCGCCGCTTGGCAAGGAGACGCCAACATGTCTTCTTGAAACGCAGAGCTTCTTTGAAGTACTCTGGCCACAGCTTTCAGATTTGTCTTGCTGTGTCATGGTGATGAGTCGGCGTGACAAATCACCTGCAATTTTGCTGGAGACGCATGGATGTGTCAAGCGTTTGCGCCCGTCGACTGTAGTAGTATATCGACTTCTATCGAAGTTTTCACTCTGCATGACCAAGTGTATCCTCATGCCTTTTGTGCAACAAAAATTAATCCTTGTTTTGTGGTGCAAGTCAATTCTCCCGAACTGCCATCCCCATCTCTTTTCGCGGGCTCTGGCTATGTGAGTCGGTGTGACAAATTATTCAGAATGCGCTGGAACCAACGGGCATGCCCTCACCGTTCATGCAAACACTTCTTGCCGTTGCGAAAACGCATGTCACGACGCTTTTCGGCAGACTTACTTCAATAAACCTGCTGTGGTTTTTGTGTGTTTTCTTGTCAAGCTGAAGCACTTCCAAGACTTGTGTAGTCACGCTACAGCACTGACGCATGGTTCAACTTTATTCTGCATATAACGTACTGTTTTCTGTTGTTTTTCACGACAGGCATCCATACTCACAACGCTGTTGTGGTCACGAGGCACCGCTGCTTGTTCTTGAAGCATCTTTGCTTCTTCGCATAATTTAATGGTAGATATTGTATATCTTTTTTAATTTATCTATTTATATAGACGTCGTGCCTTTTTCTGTTGAACTGTCAGGCTTCTGGTCGCAAGTGCGACATTTTCAGTGACCGCTGCGCAGGCTGGTTGTGCCATGTCTGAGAAGGCCACTGATAGATTTCGTTTTCCACCTCCAACCAGGCAGACGATCCGCGTATGCGTTTGAAGTCGGTGTGACAACGGGTGCAGACGTGGTGTTGTTAGCGCCTGATCGAAACGAAGCCACGTTTACTGACCAAGTGTTTTCGGTTTTGGCGTGTTGTCATGAGGCTAGGGCTTCTCCTACTCGTCTGGGAAGGTGCTTCGTTTCCACTCATGTCCGCATAGATGCATGGTCAACCCAGACTGCAGTGCAAGCATCCATGTTCTTTGCTTGCGGGCATGACACCGAAACGTCTACTGCGTTCTAGTTTGTGTTGTCATCAGGCTACATGCTACGATGCATGCGCTGGCAACCACGCAGCGCGGGATGGATACAGATAACAGTCTACCACTGTGCTACTTACAGTCACATGGACTCATCCTTTCATATCTTTTTAGATCATGCATCACCTGCGCCAGGTACTCTGAACTGCACGGGGTGCAGCTTGCACTTGCGCTGCCTCTGTTCAAAAAGAAGTTGTGTGCTGCACGTCTTCTGAAGAAGCTCACATAAAGCTGACCTACAAAAGAAGCTACACCCACACACTCTGTCTCTCTCACTCCCTCAATCATTCTCTCAATCATTCCCTGCTCATTCTTTCACATCGGTGTCTCTTTCATTCACTTTCATCGTCCAGTATTTGTTTGTCCTGTTTTCTTCTCAGTCTCTGCTTCTCGTTGCGGGTTCTTACAAGCTTAACATGTGGGGTTATCCGGTCCTTTTTTTTCAGTGTGTATAATCTTAGTGGTCTACAAAGTCTAGTGAGTCTAGTGGAATCATCCTGCGCAGCCTCCTGCTTGGTGGAAGAATGTTTCCTCGAGAGACCAGTTTCTGCAAAGAACCTCCAGCCAGAAATCCCGCCTTTTGTTTTTCATTGACTTTTGAAGGACTTCCAAGTAATATCAACATATTATCTAGTCCAACCAGTTTAGATTCCCAAAACAAACAGAACCGACCACTTCGACACTTCCCAAGTCTTCCGGTCCCTCCAACCATAGAACCTGTTCTGCCGGACCCTTCCGACCCTTTTCGGCACTCCACAGCCTTCCAAGGATTTGCCAAAGGCCTTCCGCAAGAAGTTGCGCTGTGAGTCATTGATCCAGTCGCGGATCAAGGCCTTCCCCGAGTCGTCGAGTCGGCAAGTGGAGGGGGATGTCGGAAACACAGTGGACATCAGATGTCGACATCCGAAAATGGAAACGTCATGGAGGAAGGTGAGAAAAATGGTTTCCTTTCCCACTCGTACCTCCTCAGAAGGTATGACTGGACCCTCCTGGCACCCACGCCAGCCCCACCGAACCTCAGAAGGTACGATTGGAGGCCTATAGGGTTTAAAAATGTTTTCCCTCTTTTTCTTGGTCATGGAGACCGTCGATGTTGACCACGTCAGCAGCTTCGGATGGGGGTGTTTTCATCGGCATCGCTGGCCGCAGCGGGGCGCACCACGTGGTTGAGTTGGGGTGCGTCCCTCATTGGGTTCTGGGAGTCCGTAATCATACTTCTAGCAAGAAACCACTGGGTTGGAGGCCATCGATCTTAGTCGAGGCCATCGCTATAGTAGGCACTGTTCAGTTGGAGCTAGATCACCAAATGTGCGGATCAGGCAACCGCTAAATTTGGACCATCTTCCTGGCATCATACATGATCTGGCCTCTCAGGCCTGGGTGGTGATTGGAAGACAACAAAACCACCCATCTCAAGAACATGTTCTGTTGTCGCTTCCGGATAAGGCTTAGGCTTTTTCGAGGGGGTCGCGTCAACTGACAGATGTATGAACATAATATGTTCATGTATCAGCTTGCTGAACTTACTGGTCTTGTCTCAAGCTGCAGCGCGCTTCGAGGAGGTCTTTGGGCTGGTGAAACCCAAGAAGATCGATCAGAAGCACTGTGACTCGTCACGCAAGCCACCACGAAAACCACGAAACGAAACCACAAAACCGCGAAACCTGCAAGTCATGGTTTTGTCGGAAATTAGCGGGGTTTTGTTGGAAATTGGCGGGGTCTTCCATGCAATTTTGCTTCCAGGGTGCACTGGCAAGGCTTTCGCCTGAAAATGCCTGAAATCGGCGCTACATCGCTGCGACATGCACTGCATGGCATATGGAGTCGTAAGATCGGTCGGTGGGGCCCCGACAACGTCTCTCCATTAACAAACATCGCTCCATCCAGCGCGTGGCCGGCGCCCCTTCTCTTCCCACCGTCTTCTTTCTGCCCTTCACGCTGAAGTTGGCGCTCCAGCGAGGCGACAAGATGCACTCGATCATTTTGGAGCTCCTCGAGGTCATCGCTTCGCCCGCCCCTCGTCGGCGGACGACCGCGGTCACAGCAGTCACAACCCCGTCGACGTGGCGGGTCCGAGCAGTCACGGCGGAGGGCGGTCGGCGGGGAGTGCAATCCGAAACTGGTGTGATGGATTTTGTTTCCCTAGGCCTCCAAGTACCTTCTGAGAAGGTGTTTAGGGTGGGTTTGGAGGGCCCAAATACCTTCTTTGAGGATGCACTTGGAAGTTTAGGGTTTGTGTAGGGGCTAGTGTTCTTTGTGGTGCGCAGAGGATGAACACAGAGGATGAACACAGGTTTGCATCTTCGTGTCTTCACGTTCTTGTCGGGGCGAACGCTCATGGGGATCCGTCCAAGAGCCTTCTTACTTAGAACGGAACCTCAGGTCCAAGAGCCTTCTTACTTGACCCAACTTGGGGTCACAAGTTGCTTTTTGCCGACGTTTCTTTCCCTAAGAACCCTTCATGATTGAACAAGCCACTTCACCAGAAGCTGGAGCGTGACATCCCACCGGGACCAGCCACCCTTCTCTGCAGACGGCACACATCGCCCTTCAGCACAGCTGAGGACAGCACGATCCTGGTCTTCCTCCCTGGGATCGCGGAAATCTCCGCCCTGTGGCAGGCAAGAGCGCGCCGATACAACGCGCAGGGACATGATCTGCGGGGCTCATGAAGCCGCTTAAAGAATTGTTGGGGGAGGGGCCCTCAAAACCCTATGTGTTTGAGGGCCCGGATTCTTAGGGCAGACAACACAAAGTCGCAGCACTTCCTGTCAACTGCAACGCCCAAAGATCCTTTGCATTCTTTACACGGCAGCTTTGATTCCTTCAACGGGCCAAATCAGAGAACGACAGTGGTGGAACATTGCAAGCCAGATAGATCAGTCAGGTGAGGCAGACCCGTTTGTCGATGCAAGTAACTTCTGTTGTCGTTGAAAAGAATTTCGAGCAGTTGTCTATCCAAGGTGCTGCTCCAAATTATAAGGCCTTCACTAGGTGCAAGAGATCAACTGAAGGAACCACCTCCAACCTGTGCAACCAACCTGCAGGCTGAGCGTGGTATGGCTTTTTTCTCGCACATGGATGGCATGGGCCAACGAAGACCCGTCCATGTCGCCGTGAAAACGTACCTGCACCAATTTTTCAACTTCATTCCGCTGAATCTTTGTGAGCCTAAGTATGGCCAAAGCTGTCTAACGCGGTGTTTGGCCAGTTTGGCCATAAAGTGCCATAAAGGTCTAGAGTCTAATGCACCTGGCTAATGCAGTAACGTAAAGGGCTAATGAGCACCGAGATACACCCAGAATTCTCGCTTTTTTAGAGCCCCTTCTCAAGTGTGTATTCGCTGCTTCTTCCACTGCCGCGGGCACACATTCTAGCAGCCCCTCCAAAACGCCAGCCGTCCACCCGATCGTCGTGTAATCGGTCTTTGCAACCCATCCGTTGGAGGATATATCGTGCAGGGAACGCCATGCAGGACCTTGATGCCATTGCCGCATTGCCGACACACTCCACCGAGCGGATGGCAACCTAACAAGGGAGGCCCCAGGCATCAGCCCAGGAAGCCTTCACCCTTCTGCATACCAGCGGCATCACGGAACAGCTCCACACACAACCTCAGAACCATGCGATTCCCTTTTCACCTACACCCACACTTCCACCAGCCTCCACATGAAGAACAGCTGCCTTGCGCATGTGAGCGCCTGCGCATTCTGTTGCGAAGGCCCCAACATCCCACCACAGACGGCCACTAAGTCCACCCTGGCTGATCTGAACCTTCCACACCACTTTCACCACTTTCTTCAAGCCAACATGAACAGCACCTACTTCCAGCCAAGCAGCACTACTTTCACTCATTCAACCGCACTACGGACTCCCTCCGTCCCTACATCAACACGCCGATGAAATTCTAGCCACACACTGGCCACTCCATGTTCAAAGTCTCCATTTTGAACCTCGCTTCACGGCCAGATCCGATCCATCATGCACCCAACTACAGCAATTGCATGGCGATCAAGCACTCCTCCACCACGCCGATCATGAACTTCAGCAACTACGAATCTTTTGTCACCAGAACTATTTCCGCCAGCATGAGACGAGAGCCAACGAAGACGCTCACGCGGCGCTTGTGCAAACGTACCTGCTGTTGACCGCACCTGGGCATCTAAGTGCTGCTGGTGGGTCCTGCGCTGTTGGTCCTTGGCTTTAGCTAGAACAATTTCTTCCAGCCTTTGCATCGGCTTTCTCGCCTTTATGTTGAAACCATTCGGTTGAGCGGACTCATTCACCTTTCCGTTCCCTCAGCCAAGGTCTAAATTGCGTGCTACTGCATCGGTGGTTGCATAACTGACGCTACGCTCTCGCGAGCCATGTGTGTGTTCCAGTGTGTGCCAGCAGCGCGCCAGGGGACAGGTGGTTCTTGCAAGGAAAAGAAACCACTCCATCCTCCTTGGTCGTCCGTCCCTCCGCATCCCCCCCGTGGAAACCGAAAAAAATGGTGCCTGCAGTCGTCGAGGAAGCGAGAGATTTGGAGCATCGCGGCTTTCGAATCTTTCCTCTTCACTCCATGGTGCCACGGGAAGAGCAGGAGACGGTGGATTTGCCATGTGATCCGGTCGGAAGGTCTGAGCGAGCATGGTGTGGGTGCATTTCCGTTGCCGGGGGGTATAGGTCGAGAATGGTCAAGAAGATCCTCCCTTTGAAGATCGGAACACCATCACAGAATTCCCGGGTCGCATGTGCATGCGATCCCTTTTCTGTCCAAACCTGCAAAAAGCAGAAAGCGGAAGAATCTAATTGAGTGTGTTTGAGGTTGGGAACGTTTCTGCATGCAATTGTCCGGCCGAAGTGGACCGGAAATGAGATCTTTAAAAGTTTGCAATCTTTGGGTGTCAAATAGACCAAGTCGGCAATCGCCTGAATGCCCCAAGGAAGATGAAAATCATGAAGATTCACTCACCAGGGGTCACAAAGTGGTGTTTAGTCCCCAAGTGAGTGGATAATGGGCACCCCTAACCCCTAACCTTCAATTTCGGCACCCCTTTGTGACTCCTGGTGAAGATTCAGTCATTTCACTCATCACTTGTGCTTATAGTTTCACATATGGTCCATAGTGCACTTCATCTCAGCTTTTTGCCCCACTTTCGGAGCTTTCCTCCCCAGGATCCGCCTCGTGTGGGTTCGGGCGCCATTGGGCTCGGGCTGGGAATGCCGACGTCGCCATGCGAGGAGCTGGTCTTCCAGGAGCCCGAGCCCGGCATCACCAATGCCTGGCGGCCCCAGTTTTCGATCTGTTCGCCTCACGCGAAAGACCAAAGACGCCCGAATCGCTCTTCGCAGGTCTGGGGGTGAAAACAACGGTGAAAACCATCGAGATGAAGGTTTTTGGTACGTGATGAGAACCGCGAAAGTCGCAGGTGCTTCGATGATATGAAAAACGCCGGGCTGTGTAGCCTGCATCCTCCAGGTGGGAGGTCTCAACAGGTGCGGTAACCGTGCAAAATGCCAGCCTGTGAGAGCCATTCAAACGCCAGAGACCCATTTTTGTTGGAACCTGAGTCGAGTTGAGTCCACCACGCCCGGGTTGGTCTTCATTTTTCTCAGAACCCGGGTATGACCGGCAAAGTCAGGGCGAGGAGAGCCTTCCAAGACGAATGTTCAACATGGGTTGAGCTGGTTCTGTCCGACTCCCCAAATGCAGCTGGGTGCACCGGATCTGGATGCGGATCACCCTGGAAGGTGGGCAAAGTCTGTGTGAAATGGGAACGATCTGACCTGTGTAAAATCCTTTGTGAAACCATGGCCAAGCCACGGGATGCCCCGGGCTATTAAATGGTGGGCCACGACTTCGGCTTCATGAGATCTGTCCGCCACCGGTGCGGTCCCTGCAGTGCTCAGGTGGTTCTCGCCACCGACATCGCGGAATCTTCCATCACTCTGCCGCATGTGGGATTCCCCTGCCGAGAAGGGTGGGCACCGGGGTTTCAGGAGCTTCTCAGTGGCAGAAACCGTTTCTGGGTTCCCTAAAGAATGGGCCACCTGGGTCATGGCACCTAGCTCCAAACCTTCATGTGTATTTTCGGTGGGACAAACCAGAGTCCTCCGCGGTTTGGACTTACTGACATATGGATCCATAATGATCCATATGGCGTTTGACATCCAATAAAAGTGGTTGGGACTGTGGAAAGATCCTCCTTCTGATGAAAATTTGGATAAACCCGGTAGAGACCCCAGGGCTGGGAAGATCTGCGGTCAGGTGGAAAAGCACTGGGATCATGGAAAGCCTTGATTGAAGAGTGGAGATATACTGGTTCTTGCTTAAGGCGATGGATTTTCCCGTGGAACAAACTGACCAATGCACATCAGAATTCTTTTCGCCAACGTTCAGCCCTTATTTGTGGACTTCTTAAGTATACTTCATCGAGACCTACGCAACGATCCACTCATCCGTTGCATGGCAAGCACTTGAGAGTGAAGAAACACGGTCTCCCTGAGGCTTAAGCGAGGCCCAAAGGCAGAGGAATCCATGTGAACAGATCCGTCCCAGTGAGATTCACCATACCTTCACCCAAGTCCAGCCAAGTCGTGGCGTCATATTCGTTCAAAGGAGTTCTAGAATGAAAGGAACCCTTGGAGCTCAGCATGTTTAGGCGATTGTCTTGCCCCCCAAACCCCCACATGTTGCGCTCATGTCGAGCACCCTCGAAGGGTCCGAACGACTCAACGGCCCAGCTCCGCCCCACCGACCGACCCGAAGCCAACGACCCGAAACAACGAGCCAATGGAGATCCACGACGATCGCTGGAAAATCGCGGATCGAAGTCATCGAAGAACAGGACGACCTCGGAGTCATGGCCTGACTGGGTGGGGCTCTCGTCCCATCCAGGGGCTGTGAATGTAACAGGGGGCACCCCCCAGCGACTCCTAAACACGCCTGGAGCACTTCGATGCCATGGCGGCTCGCACCGCGCCACGTGGTCGCCATCATGACTGAAGCCGCGCGGCTCGCAGCGCAGCTCGGGCTGCGGCTGCTGTTGCTGAGTCTCCTCACAGGGTTCGGCCCTTGGCCAGGCGGACGAAAGAGCCAGTCGCAGTCGGACTTGTGCCCTGCCCATACTGCACTGCGGTGCCCCGGCCATTGGCACGTGAAACAGGTTGGCAAAGGGGAGTTTGATTTTTCCAAACCCGAAGGAATTCCACAGAAGCGATTGTCTGAATATGGGCTCAGTGGTTCTTGACACTTGAAAAAGGCAACATTTTCCCTGATTGAACGATGGAACCGGCATGGGTGTTTTAAATCCAACATGCAGAGGACATTTGCACAGGAGACATGATAGACGTATAATACAGACATGAAAAAACAGACAACTCTTGCAATAACAATTGTCGTGGCAACCAGTAATTCTCAGCTGACATTCACAGCTCTTTTCAGGTAGGCACTGACCCTGGCTCGTAAAGCGGAGCGCTCCAGCACTGACTCCGACAGTCCCAGCACGACCGTGTCGGTGACTGCCAGGCACTGCCTTCGCCCGGCCGAGCGGTGCCCGGCCGGGGTCTGGCGCTGGTGCGGGGTCGGTGTTGCGGCAGATGTCCTTTTTGCGGCAGGATGGGGAGAGCGGAGGGACATGGAGCAGAGAGGGGGTGAGAACTGGAGGAACTGTGAGGGACCGAGAGGAGACGAGAGACGAGAGGAAGAGGAAGAGGAAGTCGGGATGTGTATGAGAAGCATACCCCGCCACGGTGGCCCGACTCGAACGTCCACTCTAGTGCCTCGCGCCTCGCGTCGCAGGAACAGCAGGAGGAAGAGGAGATGCAAGAGGAGATCAACGCTTTAGTGAAGGAAGCGGAGACGACCCACAGGTGGCACCGGACCCGGGCGGCTGCAGGACGACGCGGAGGGAGGACGGAGGAGTTCCAGCTGTGTGCTGTCTGGAGTGTGCAATATATGGACTACCCATGACTACCCTACCATGCGATACTGTGGATCTCCAGACAGGACATCCAGACAGGATGCTCCTGGGAGGTGTACTCTTCTTTGGGAGTGATGTGACGAAGGACTTAGGGGTTCTGGAAAAAAACAAACGAGATCCCGTAACCCGTATGCTAGGTCGCGAGGTGCTAGGGGTGCTAGGGGTGCTCAACAGTTTTCGCGGCACTCTTCAGGCATGCCAAGGTGTACTCTTCCCGGAATTAACATGCTTACGTGGAGTTCACCACCTGTTTGGTTCGTGGATTGCATGGTCTTCCGAACTCGGGGGTCATTCTCAACCATGTGGTCGTTCCAAGGAGTGTACTTGGTTCGACTTCTGCCTTCTGCATGGCCGTCCTTGCTCGGGTTCTCCGAAAGCCTTGTTGGGTCGAATGGTCTGACTGGTCTGACTGGACGATCTAGGTGGCCCCGAAGTTCAGGACATGCCCTCACTTCAGTCAAAACAGGGGCGAGGCCTGGACTTGGAGGGGTCGAACGGGTCGAACCAATCCCTAGGGTTTTGAGGGACCAAGAGCTGTGAACGGAGCGTCTGGACTTCGCCTTGAAACCGACCTGGGGACCCGAAGAGCCCCTTATGGACCGAAGAGCAGCTCTTCCGGCGCGGCGTTGAGGAGGGCGCTCTCCGAGGGCGCCCTGGCGGGACATCAGCCGCTCTTCATGCTTCCCATTCTCCATCACTTCCGCGCCGTGTCCAGTTCACGGACCTTGAACCTCCTCAACGGCACCTTGAGCCTTCTGTTTGGGTGTAGCTAAAAGGATCAGCAATGCTCTGGTGAACAAGTGTCCCGAACTGGTTGATATATCCCCCTTTCTGGAAAATATCCTTGTATGTTGAAAATCAGATTGTGTTTTAACATGCTTTTAACTTCCCCGAACTGGTTCAGATCCCATGAAGATCCGTGTGTTTTTCTGGTGAAGAGGTTTTTTTCCCCAGCTCCTGGGATCAAATCCAAGGCACCTTCGTGGACTGTACCTTTGGCCGTGGCGGTCACGCGCGGGCGCTGCTGAAGCATGCCTCGTCTCAGACGACGCTGCATGCGCTGGATGTGGATCCGAAAGCAGTCTCTCAAGCTTTTCAGACGTGGACCGTGGGGGGAAAGTGGGATGATGGGATGATGGGAAGACACCACATGTGGCGGCAGCGAACCGGCAAAAGGAGAGGTTGGACTTGAGAGTGTTTGGGGGGGGCAGTTCTCTTTCACTACTTCGTGGACCTGCTGACAGACGGTTTTCCTTTACCCCACAGCTCGTGTGACCTTGACCCCTGATTTCCGTTTTAAGATGGTTCGCTCGCTCGCTTGAAAAACTCGGATTTCGTGGCAGGGCTCCCCACTTCCCAAAAAAAAAGAAGAACCTCCCAACTTCCCCCCCCAGGCCCTCACCAGTTCTCCATCCCAACCGATCCCAACCCATCCCAATTGCGGAAAACCGGCTTGATCGAGGTGGAGGTGGCACACGCCTTAGCGGCGAAGGAGCCGCGCTTGAAGGTCTACCGCAGGTCCTACGCGGAGCTGTCAGAGATCCTGGAGAGCCAGGAGCCCGTGCACGGGGTGCCCTGGAGGTGGTTGGAAGAACGATTTGCTTCGATCTTTCTTGGAGGTTTGGGGGGCGGAAACTGCCAGGGAATTGCAAGTCGTATATATATATATATATATTATGAACATAGAAGTTGGATGGCATGGTTCTTGAGAAAGACGATCATAGCGTATGTCCTCACAGAAAAGATGAATGGAAAGTGGTTCCATGGTGCCCTCAAGCGTTCCGGTACCATCCAGTACTTCCGTGGGATACACAAAAGTAGCTGGTCAAAGGTGTAAGCCTTTGCTGTTTGTTGAACTTGGAGTTGAAGCTGCATACCTGGATCTTCCAACTGTGCAGAATTTATCCCTTTTCATCAATAAAATCATTACCATGCATAAATGTTGCACAGTTGGAAGATCTAGAGATGGTTTCCTGGTTTTGCCCTATGTTTTGGCCTATATTTGTTGGGCGATGCTTTGGACTCTGCAGTTCACCGCGTCGCGGAAGAGGGCAGCCCACCGGCCCATGGACGGTTTTACCCTCACAGGGCAGCGTCCAGCAGTCACGTTCGGGGTGCCGATCGGAGGAAGTCGGGGTGCCCAGCTACTCCACTCACTGGATGGGGACAAAGAACCACCCCTTTGATGTGACCCCTGGGTAAAGCACTTCGTTTAGCTTGTGCCGGTTTAGCTTGTGGGACTTGTTTAGCTTGCGACGTTCGCCCAGCCGGCCAAGCCGTTTCCGCTGGCCCCCCCCGCCGTTGAGCGGCCCGACGCTTCCGAACCGAGCGGCTCCGCGCCGGCGGGGCGGGGTCAGCCGACGGGTCGCGAGCAGAAACCATCGAGTTCGGACCGGTCGCCGCCGTTGGATTCTCCCGCGCGGGGTGGGCGTCGCGTGGTTCCGATCGGGAGGTGTGGTGGGTCGGGAGTGGGTCCGACCCCGTCGGCTTGCTCGGTTCGGGGAGAAACACGTCAACGCACCACACACTCAGATGGATGAAGAGTCAGCCACTGTTCAGGTTCTCATCAATGGGGGCATCACCACCGATTCCAAGAACGACATCGAACGTGGCATCCGCAAGGGTCCGTTGGACTTGCGCTATGACAATGAGGTGAGAAGTGGATGTACTACAAAAGGCAGCAGAAAAAAAGATAAAACTTTATAAAGCAACATGCTGTTTTGTGTCCAATGACCCTCACCACTTTTGGGGAGTGATTTCTGGACCGAAGCAACATGTAGCAATTGGTTCGGGTCCAGGGTCGCCTTTGGCGAACAGAAGGATGAGGTTAGAACGGATGTGAGATGAGTGGGCAGTGCCGGTCATTAAGCCCAGCTCCTTGGGGGGACCTGCTTGAGGGAGGGAAAGTGGTCCTCCAAAACCCGTCAATGAAGGACCCAAATCGGTGACCCACCAGAGGCAGATACATGGTCCTTC